GTGCACTTGCCTCTCTCAGCTGAAGTGTTGGTGGGTTTTCATCGAACGATATGAGATTACCTTCAGGAGTTGATAGCAGATTTTGCTCTGAAGTAACATTTTCAGTTTGAGGTGTATTTTGCTCTAGAGTAATGTTTCCTACATTTTGCATTATAAGCAAAGCTGGTTGGCATTGTCCTTTATAAAGGTTTCCATTTAAATTCATATGTTTATTAAGATCTCGAGTTTTATCAGTTCTTATTTCTCAATCACAACCTGGACATTTAAGTATCTTAGCCATAGTAATATGTTTTTTCAGTATTTTTTATTAATATACCAGATCTTTTGTTTACATAAAAAATAATTATTCATTTATTGAAATGTTTAGTAAATATATCGAGGGAGGTAAATATATTGAAAAGTCAGGGGGAAATATACATACGAATATATACACAATTCTGAAGAAGTCTGCAGACATGGATGTCGACATCCTGAAGGGTGCCATGAACATTAGAGATCTAAAAAATGTGTTTTATGTAATGATTGTAGAAAACCTATAGCTTCTGCTTGTAGACATTGCAAAAAATATTCTAAAGAATATTATGTTATGCAATTTTATGCTCGACAACTTCAGATGCTTGAAAACCACCCATAACTCTTTGAGTCATCCTTCGGGCCTGCAAGACAATAAAATTTAACTATCTTTTTTACTATAGAAACCAAATTGATAACTAAAAGATTACTATGCTCTGCTTTGCTCTGCAACTGTGTCGCTCATATCTAAGGTGTATACTCTTTAGTGTTAAGAAACTAATTGTGAATTAAACAGATAACTAATGCTATGCTATGCTTCGTATTCAGAGTCGCTATGCTCCTTCAGTACAAAAAACTAAATAGAAATCAAATATGATAACTATGCTCTGCTTCACTCTGCAACTGTATCATACACTCTTAGGAGAGTGTACTCCTTAGTAATAGAAAGCTAAATAGTAATCAAAATAGATATCAAAAAAGTACACCAAGCATAAAGTATATATAAAAATACACCATTCATGTAAGTTTTTTATATGTTATATATAAGTTATATAAGTTATCAAGAATATG